GTTTTGTTACAGAAGATGTGAATACAAAAAAGATAACAGTGTAGCATAATGTGCCTCAAATGCTAGCACCCATCTTCAGAAGTCGACATTTTACTACACTTTTCCTCCACTTTCCCCTTACTTTGGAAGCAAGGATGTATTGTAAAGAAAATTTCATATTTCATATTTCATGTACAGTACAGTTTCATTCTCTTATTTCAAAATCTAAATAATGTCAGTTTTTTTACTGTTGGTGTTCAAAAAGTTTCAGATTTTAGGACACTTCTGATTTCAACTGTGGAGAATAGAAATATTTATGTAGCAAGCTTATGCAAATCCTTTAAAACTCTAAAGCAAAACAAGGCCTAGAGCTGGGGAGATGCTCAGTGGGTTTAAAGGCTTTTCTGCCAAGCTTGATGACCTGACTTCCATACCCAGACCTACATGGAAAGAGAGAACTGACTTCTCAGTGCACAGTGGTACAGCTGCCCCTCCCCCTAGAGTGAATATAAACAACATCCTGACATCAGGACACTTCTGGTTCTGAACGTTACAGACTTATGAAATGACCACCTCCCCTCTTATAGCTGAGAAGTTCATGTGCCTTATTAGCCGATAATTCATCTGTCTTTGCTTTTCCTTTATTGTCTCAAACCTTTTCACAGTAGGTGTGTGTAAACTGAGACCCAGCCAATATACACATTGGCTTGTTACCTAAGCTTTGCCAGTGGCTCTCCACCCTCTTCAGTGCTGTATATCAGCTAAGAAACAAAAACGTATCCACATTATGGGGTATTGACATGTTCTCTGTCACTTATTTTTTTCTATAAAGTGACAGATGTTAAAATTTAATTAGGTCCAAATTCTTTGTTTCTATTTTTTCCCCCGTTGGTACTTCGTAGGTAGTGGTGTATTATATGAAGGAATGATAAAACTGGTTTTCTCTCTAGTGACATGAAGAGTGCCCAAGGGATTCTTGTGGTGTTGGCATGATTGTGACTCCACCCTTCCTGCTGAAGCAGTGCACGGTCAGCTCCTGGCTGCAGGCTGGTCACACTAGGAGAACGTGAAAAATACCAGTGTGTAGGTCCTGTCCTTGGTGGAGGGCATCAGGAGCTTTGAGTGGAACACAGGCAACAGTATTCCTTTATATTAGAGATGTGTAATATTTGTACATCGTTATGGAACTTGCTGCATCTACACAGCATATAATAAAGGATAATAAAACATTTCTATCTCTTTAAATACTAATCACTTTGTGTGGAGAATTTTACCTGGCTGGGTATGGTGGCACACACCTTTAATTCCAGCACTCAGGAGGCAGAGACAGGCAAATCTCTGTGAGTTTAAGGCCAGCCTGTTCTACAGAGCGAGTTCCAGGACAGCCAGTTGCAGCATTGACATGAATTAACTTCTGAATTTTTGGTTCTGTTGCACTTGTCTCTGTGATGTTTGGGTTATGGTAGCTGTGTAGTATACAGGATTTTGTTGGCTTGTTTGTATTGAGATATGGCCTTAGGCACCTAGGTTGGCCTTAAACGCATTCTTTCATCAATATATCAGTTTTCCCTGTATACATTTTTCAGTTCATGGTTAAACTTACTCTAAATATTTTATTTTCGTGGCTTGTGTGAATGGGTTGAACTCTTCATTTTCTTTCCAGCAGTTTCATTTATGGCCAATATTTGAAATCCCAGAGCACATCAAGATGAGGTGGGAGAGTCAAGTTTGGTGCCAGCCATGGCTGTCTACTGTGTTCAAGGGTGTCGGCAGCCATGGATGCACAAACAAAGCCTGATTTTTGGTGTTTAATTCATATTCTACAGCTTTGCTAGATTTATGTATCTACTCGAACAATTTTTTGATGGGAAATTTAGATTTTTCCTTATATAAAGTCATGTCATATGCAAATATGGATAATTTATTTTCTTTTCCAGTTTAGATATTCTGGCTTCTCTTTCCTTGTACGCTAAGGCTTCCCAGTGTTGTATTAGATAAGAGTGGTGAGAACAGATGCCTTTGTGGTTTGCAGTTTTAGAGGAGACATTTGTAGTTTCCTTGCTCAGTGTCATATTGGCTGTGGGTTGTACACTTAGTCTTTAGTATTTTGAGGATTTTATTCTATATATGACCTGATAAGAGTGTTTGCCATGAAAAAATATTATATCTTACTGCATACTCTCTCTATGGAGATGATAATATACTATAGTCCTCAATTCTGGTGATGCTTACTAGTTTGCGTATGTTGACCCATCCTTGAATCCCACTTTATCATAAAGTGTGATCTTTTTCATATACCAATAAATATATTGAGAATGTTTGCAGCTATGTTTATCCAGAATATGAACCTATAGTTTTCTTTACTTTCATATCAGGGTAATGGGAAAAGCTGGACACACAAAAGTGTTTAAAAGAACATTTCACAAAAGTGAAATAGAAGTTCCTTCCATTTCATTGTTTTGAATAGTTTTCAGAAATTGGAATTAGTTCTTTAAATGAATAGTATGATTCACTAGTTAGTTCCTTAGGTCCTGGAAGGTCTTTTAAAAAGACATTTGAGGCTGCAGTCTCACTACTCAGCGCTAGTCTGTTTAGTTTCGATTTTCCCCTCCTCTCCCTTCCTCCATCCTTTACTTCCTCTTCCCCTCCTTTTATTTTTTGATGTTTTTTTTCCCTGTGCTGCCCAAGCTGCCTTTGAACTTATAGAATCCTAGCCGACCATAAACCTGAATCTTCCTGTCGCTTTCCTCTGTGTCCTGACTGCCATGCCTCCTTCTGTCTACTCTTGACTCAGTTTGGGTGGGCTGTGTGTGCTCACAGACTCACCCATTTCTTCTAGGCCCTCTAGTTATTTTACCCTGTGATTTGTCATAATGAATTCTAACGATGCTTTGTGTTCCTGTTCTGTCTGTTGCAGTATCTTTTTCATCTTTGGTTTTGCTTGAGATCTCTTTCTTTCTCCCTACTCCCCATCTGACTAGAAGTTTGTCAATCTTGTTTTTCCTGTCACTCATCTTTTCCTTTAGTTTTAATTTTATTTCTTCTTGTTTCTTTTTTTCTACTAATTTTTGGTCTGTTTGTTGTTGCTTTTTGAGTTCTTGCGGTACACTGCTGAATGCTGCTCTGAGGCTGTTTGATCATCTGATATATGGGGTAGGACTCTACATCTCTCCCTATGAACTGCGTTTGTTGTATCACACAGATTTTTGTGACGTTGTTTTCACTTACTACCAGAAAAACTTTTTCCTTTAATTTCTCCAGTTACCCATTGGTTTATGTTGCTCATTGTATGTTATTTTTTATGCTTTTCATTCTTGTTGTCGCTGTTGAATTGTAGTTTTATCCCTTTGTGATCCGAGAAAATGTGTGATATTACTCAGTTTTTAAAAATTACCAAGACTTGATGTAGGGCATAACTACTGTGTCAGCTACCTAGAGAATGTTCCGTGTGCTGATGAGGAGAACATGTTCTATTTGTTCCGATGAAATGCAAATGTCCATAAGGCCCGTTTGCTCTGTATGAAATCCTCAGCTGTACCTAGAAAGCAGACTAGTTGTAACTGTGTGTTGACTGATATTATTACTCTAATCATGCTAACAGATGCTTTTCACAATGGAGAGGATGCTTTTATATCTGCTCACTTGACCGTATGACCGTGGATTAGCTGTGTAGCAATTGACTGGTGAACATAACACTAACGTGTTTTCCCCATGCGGTACAGTCATTGAGATGCTGGTTTTTCAAACCACAGTACATGTCTGATACAGATCAAGATTTTAGGGTTTTTTAGTTTTCTACCAAGTCTTAAAATTGAATCTTGTGTTACTAACTGAATATGTCTACATTAAATGAAGGGTTTATATGGGAAGTAGATGTGATATCCTCTCTGACACACCCATGGAGTTCAGTGGATAGAGGGACCTGAAGGTGGAAAGCTATGTGGACAAAGTCTTAGCAGCTAGAATGTCAGTGTATCAGAGCACATGTTTTAAATTCTAAATACCTGAACTAGAATGTGGCAGTATTAATGTAAACCTGAAAAATGCAAATACTGCCTTATATTTGTGGTAATTAATGTTAGCAAGGAACACCTTACTTCAGGATTTGGGAGTGGGACACCTTCAGAGAGTTTGAGGCAGGGGTCTGCTACTCTGCCGTACATTTCAAAGAGTTGGTTTTCCTTCCTAAGGTCCATCGTACCCTCCTTCCTTTTTTCTTCTCTTCTCCCCCTTCCTCCTCCCTTGCCTTTCTCTTTCCAAGTTCAGAGGAGGCAAGACAGAGCCTGGCATTCCATGGGATTTGCAAATGAATGTGATCATTGTGTTATCTGTCACTAGGTGGAGCTCACGAGCCCAATATGGCTGTAATCCCTGTTCATCTCTGGAAAGGGGATTAATATTTGAAGAGAACTGGCAACTGGTTTTGAGTAACAGGATTATTGACTGTGCCTTTAAAAAGACTGTTGAGAAACTGCAAACTTTTTTTTTTCCCACAATCTTGCCCATGTTTTGTTTTTGTTGTAAAAACCCTTTGAAAGCATAGTGTAGTATTAGTTCTAAGTCTTTATAGTGCAGAGAGTATTCTAAGTTTATTACTGTGTCATTCGTGTAACTAAGGTGGAGTCTTCTGTCCCATGGCTTTGAAATTTAGCAGCTCTTCTTTCAGCCCATTCCAGGAAGAGCAGGGCCACTTTACTGTTGTCACCTGCCGTTTTCAGTGTCACACTTGTGCTTACCTTTATTTCCAACTCTGTGGTGTGAGGTAACTAGAGGCCAGGATGGGATTTTCTTTCTCGCGGTCATCAGAGGTAAGAAGCTGGAAACTAGTAAGAGGTGATAATGCGGGGACGGCTCCACTCCAGACTGCCTTGCTCTGAGCTTTTGATGGGCAGGTGATAGGTAGGCAGTGGGAGGGCAGAGGGATGCTTCCAAACCTTAACGAAAATCCACTTAACTCATAGTCTGTGATCCAGACGTGTGTGGACAAGATCTGATCCAACGTTTCTGTCTTTCTACCACAGCACGTGCCCTTATAGTCGGCCACCTTTTGGCTATGGGAATTTTCCAAGTTCAATGCCAGAATGTCTTGGTTACTATGAAGACAGGTACCAAAAGCATGAGGCTATATTTTCAGCTTTGAATAGAGACTATCCTTTCAGAGACTACCCAGATGAGCACACACACAGTGAAGACTCTCGGGGCTGTGAGAGCGTGGACGGGCCCCCGTACTACCACAACCACGGGCACAGTGGAGAAGAATACTTGAACCCCATGCCTCCACTGGACATTGGAGCCCTGGAGAATGTCTTCACAGCCCCAGCGTCAGCTCCCTCTGGCGTCCAGCAAGTCAACGTCACTGACAGCGACGAGGAGGAAGAAGAAAAAGTGCTCAGGAATTTATAATTTAAAACAAATATGCACAGAAAATAAACATTTCTTAAAATATATTCTGGGTCAGTTGGTGTGAGAAAAAAGCCTAGAATACTTTGCTGAGAGTTCTCAGCCGTGATCTGAGGAGTTGGAACCAAATGCCATTGTCTCTTCCTAAGTTCTCATTAGTGACCCTGGACTCCCGATGCCTCAGCATAGGGACGGTAGAATCTAAAGTAGTTCTTTCATGGCTGAAATTCGCACCCACATGTGATAGCATTACTTTGTCTTGGGACATTTGAAATACAGAAAGCCCCGGTGCGTGTGAGGACACACGTGAGTATATTATATCTGGCGTGGCAAGTGAGATTAGCGTTTTATCTCAGGGCACATTTATTTTATTTTTTGGAGAAATTTTACTGTTTATATATTTATGGATGTTGTCAGTTTTTATGTAACATTTTGAAAATATTTTGATAACTTGTAGATGTGAACCAGAGCTCAGTTGCTAAATTTAATTTACACTAATAACCAATTGTAGTTGAAAATGTATCTTAATGACACCTGGGCAGTTCCTTCAGATATAGTCATTTCTGTTACTGAACATTTTATCACCATTTTAACTATCTTTCCTATTTGGTATGCATTGTTGTATTGTTGTTGTAACTAAATAAACAGATGAAAACACTCTTGTTAAATGTTTTCTGTTGAGAGGAGGGCGAGGAGCACTGAGTGCTGGTCAGCTGTGGTTAGCTTTGTGCTCTGCGCAGGCATTTCTGCTTAGCAACAGACTCCTGTTGTCTGTGTATTAATTATGTATCATTGTGGCAACAAAATACCTGAGAAAAGCACCTTACGGAAGGAAAGGTTTATTTTGCCTCGTGGTGTGATAGTCGGGTTCATGGGGAGCAGGGCAACAGGACCGTGAGGGGCTGGTCACATTCCGTCTGTGCGCGGGGAGCTCAGACGAATGCTGGTGCTGAGTCGAAGACCCCGTCCCATGGGGCGATGCCATCCACATTTAGAGTGCATTGTCCCTTGTCAGTTCACCTGATCTAGAAACTTCCTCAGACATGCCAAGAAATTTGTCTCATAGGTGATTCTACATCCTGTTAGTTTAACAATAAATGTAAACTATCACTGTTTGCATGAGATTTGAAGTTGTGCCACCAATGATGTGTATGTATTCTAATGCTGTTTTGAAAGTTGACATATGATTTAAACACTCACCCAAGGGGATATTGTGTTCATCTGACTTGATGACCATGGAATTTACTTACAGTCATGCAAACTTAACTCACAATGGGCAACAAAAACTCCATTGTGATGTCACAGCCTCCCCGGCATTCTTTTGTGAATGAGAGATGGAGTAGGAACCACCAGAGTCGAGACCAGTTTAAAAGGTGTCTGCCTACAAGGAAGAAAATGAATTGTTGGGAAACTGCACTTTGATAATTTTTATTTTCATGGTTGATATTCTTTTTGTGTGTGTGTGTGCCACCCTGCATGCGGGTATGGAGACCAGAGGATGGCATGGGTGCCTTCTTTAATCATGCTCTCACTGAGCCCGAGCACACTGTTTTACCAGATCCACCTGTTTCCACCTCACCCAGTTCTGGCTTACAGATGTGCACCGCTGTGCCAAGCTTTTACATGGATGCTGAGAATCTGAACTCAGGTCCTGAGTTTATCTCCCGAGCCCCCAAGTTTGATACTCTTTAAGTGCTCAGCACAGATAATGTTGATATAAAGAACAAATCCTGAATTTCCTAGATGATTAAATATTATGACATTTTTTATGTGAACTAAAGGAACGTTATTTACATATTTAATATCTGCTAAGGCAGTTAATGTTTAGGAGAAATGTATGCAACAATTTGATTGCTTTTATCCCATCTTATTTAAGAGGCCTTCGTCATAGACTTACCCTACAGACAGAGTGGTTGAGGAAATGACTGTAAAACAGCAGAACAGTGAAGGTCACACCTAACCATTTCCTAATTAACCTGTCTTCAGGGTAGCCTTTCACCTCTGACTTCTTCCACAGCTTTTTTTAAAAAAGAATTAGTTAGTGTGTATATGTTTGTGTGTGTGCCATGCCGGTGGACTCCAGAAGAGGGTGTAGGCTTCCATGGAGCTGAAGTTAGAAGAGACTATGACCCATCCAACATGGGGTCTGGGAATTGAACTTGGGTCCTCTGGTAGAGCAGAAATTGCTCTTGGTCACTGAGCCATCGCCCCACCCCTTCTAGAGTTGTTCAGTAGCTAGGGCTAGGTACTCTCTTAATCACCTTTCATGCTGACGTCAGAAGGCAGGAGTTCAGGTCGTTTATAGATCCACAGTGTAAGTTGGACTAGAAACCTGCTTATTTCTTACTTAGGGAAGACCAACCACAGATAATCCCGCATGCCTACAAGGTTCCCATTATCAGCTTTTAAACCACTGACTGGAGATCTAAGACTGGACAAACCTCCCCCAAGGGCATCTGCTCCTCATCAGAGTGGAAAATCTCAATGCTCCAAGCCACAAGTAGTTTCTAACAGTCCCCTTGTCTTGTTTGCTCCTATCTTAAGTTGGACTTCGCGGAATTTATTAGACAAGTTGTTTCCTTTTCATAGTGTTTTGTAACGTCAGTATGTTTCAGATGTCACCCAGGCTCCGTACTCTTGACGTAACTGCTCCAAGCGTTTACCAGTTAAAAGCCAGTTTCACTGCAAAGTGTTGGGAAAAGGTATCTTTGTGAGAAGCCGACTTAGAGGAGAGAGCAAGGTTTCTCTGGATTAAGTCCCAAGCGGTTCAGATGTTCTCTGTGAATCTGGTCAAACAACGGTGGGAGCTGGTGCTGTGGCTCCCTTGGAAGTGAGCAATGTCCTTTATCGTCAGAATGTCACAAGATTCTAATATCTCAGGGTGCACCTACCCTGCTTGAGACCCCTTTTTGGTCTTTACCCCCCGACACCACCCAGGGCACCCTGTGGGAAATGCTGACATGACAGCTGGTGGCCTTGGTTTGTGAACTTCACACGTGGTTTTCCACACTGGTTACCTTAAGTGCTCTACTACACAAAAGCAGTTTCTGAATAAACGGCTCTTCTTAATTGTGTCTAGCAGTCTTAAAAGGCTAAAGAATTGAAACTTGTAATTGTTGTAACTCACTGCCAGCTATTAAACTTTTTTTAATGCGTGGTGACAGTGTATCCAAGAATCCCTGGAAGCAAATGTGCGGATAGACACAACATGCTCTTCCTGTCAAGCGGCTGTCAGGAGAGCACTGCTGGGGCTAAGAGTCCGAGCTACATTTTTCATGTTTAAGAAAAATATGCTAGGGTAAGTTCACTGTACAGAGTGAAGCGTGTCTTAGGGACATTTTCATGCACTTGGGCCATATTCATGCTCCACTGTCCTCTCCCCCATCTCCAGTCTCTTCCCTGAAAGTCTCTCTTCTTTGATGCAGTCTCTCTCTCTCTCTCTCTCTCTCTCTCTCTCTCTCTCTCTCTCTCTCACTCTCTCTCTCCTCTCTCTGAATCTAGGTTCCACACACGGTTGCAAATGTGACGTTCATCTTTGAATCTGGCTTATTTTGCGTAATACCATGTTTTCCCATTCATCCACCTTTCTGCGGATGATATACTTTCGTTCTTCTTTACATCTGAATAAAAACTTTATTGTAGGGCTACTGAACAGCTCTGCGGGTCTGATCCCTTGCCTCAGAGCCTGCAGATCAGAGTTCCAGCCCCAGGACCCTCGTGGGAGCGGACACCTGGACAGAATCTGTTCCGCACTTCTTGTGACTCTGCTCTGAACCCTGACCCTGTCTCTAGACACCTCTGAGAGCACAAATGCCCCCAGGTGCCTGTTAAAAGTGCTACTGTTCCTTATGGAGAGGATTCTCTGTCCAGCTGAGCATGGCAATCTGCATTGTTTGGATAAGCAGTTCTTACTTGTGCCTGCCACTGACACTGCGTCAAGATTGTTCCTAAAACCACCTAGACACATCAAAGGTCACCTTCAGAAGAGAGAGAAGGCATCGGTCCATCCTATGATCGTTGTCATTTTGTAACACTTTCCTAGTTTCTTTGACGAAATCGCCAGGTGATCTCTCACTCTAACAAACCAAAACGAGAACTGAGAATTTTCTCTGTGCGGGGGTGTTAAGCTGGAATTGGGTGGAAGTTCCTGTGGACATGGGACCTGAGGGGCTGGGGCACATAGAGTGGCCCCAGGTGCAGTCTGTGTCACAGCAAGAAGGGCGGATCTTGTGGATGACCACCCCAGTTCCTCGTGAGCAGTGCGTTGTCCTTGTCCTGCCTAATCCCAGCTCATTCCTCTGGTCTCAGTTTACACATACCCCAGCTGTCACCAGTGACAAGAACCCTTTCCGTTTCTGGTAACAGAACCCTAAAATTTGATTGTATATGGCCACTCTGAGAAACACTTTGTTTCATCTCGTGAAGCAGGGTGTGGTCAAGTACCCAAGGCCTGGACTCCTAAGACAACAAGGGATGTTCCCAAAAATGTCGTTAAAGGGAGATGGCATTGCCATTCTTTGCTCCTGTGGCCTTTCTGCTAACAGTAATACTGTAGTGATGGGTGGAATCTCAGCAACCGTCTTGGATTGTGTAGGTGTCGTTCTGAAGATGGTAAAAAGACAAGGCTAGCGCCATACCTGGGCAGGATTGTTAACACTGTATGAAAGCAAAAGAAACATCAGCCACACCAATCCACAACCATTTGGTTTTCTCTGTCACATGAAGCTGAACCAGATTCTCCCTAATGTATGTAGGCTTTTGTCCTTCAGAAAGCGTGCAAAAGCCCTCACAGGCTGAGCCAGGTTACGTTCCCATGAAGCCAAGGTGTGCATCTCCCGCTAGCATCTAAGTGCCTTTGTGATCATTCAGGACCAATGCATTGTACAGACTAGAAAGACACATGTGTGGATGGGCAGACATCATGATGGCCTTTGCTTCCCTTCCCTGAGAGGCTCCACTTTACATCTTGGTCCTTGACCTTGGACCAGTTAAGCATTTCAAGGATTTTTTCATTGTAACGTTTTCTATGTTTTTAATTATTACTCGTTTTACATGTATCTATCTGTCTGTCTATCTATCTATCTATCTATCTATCTATCTATCTATCTATCTATCTATCTATCGTGTATGTGTGTGTAGGCATGCAGGTGCCTCAGTGCGCATGAGGAGGTCAGAGGAGAGCTCATGGGAATTGGTTCTGTCTTTCCATCATGGGGGTTCTAGGACCGAACTCAGACTCTGCAGTAGGTACCCTTACCCACTCAGCCATCTCTCTGGCCCTAGGGTTTCTCTTCCTTGCAAGTAATGCCTTCTGGAGATGTGTGACCCTCAACAATGACATATTTCACTTCTCTACATCGAAGTATTCTCTGTATGAGACTTGTACCTCCCCATGGGATTGTTGGGGGTGGCGTTACTGACTGCTTGGTGTTGGGTAACTCAAAAAGACTGCTGGGTTATTAGTACTTTGTGTCCCTCTTGGTTCATTGACAATAACTGTAATCCATGAACGTGGAAGATGCTCTCTACCTTTTCCTGTCTTCTTCAGTCTCTTACACCAGTTTTCACAAGTTCCCCTTGCTTCTAGGTATTTGTATGGCTATTGTAAACAGGTGTCTTTCTTCATTTCCT